TATGAGCCGAGAGTCATTGGTCGGTTCTTAGAGAGACAGCCTCTTAATAATGTCTTTTATAGAATTTTGGTAACTTGCTCCCTTTTCAAGTTATTCAACTTTGTTTCATATGCAAATATCACCGGTGTGACATCACATCACAGAATGAGTTTTCAGAAAAGTATAATTTTCTTGACGAATACGTATCTAAAAAACTTAAAAATTGCCTTGTATATGCATTAATTTCATAACTGGTAATTAACCCTCTGCATTTGTTTGTAAAAGTACTTTATCAAGGTAAAATATTGCGTTTTCAAAATGTCATTATGCGATTTGACACTGCTACGCAGTCGTTTCTGGATCGTAAAAGGAAGACGCGCGGTAAGGAATATCGTTGAGTCATGTGCGCAATGTCGACGACGTTTTTCTGTAAAAACAGCCGAGCAGAAGATGGCACCGCTGCCCAGACCGCGACTTCAATCGTTACGAGCTTTCGAAAGAGTCGGAGTGGATTATGGAGGCCCATTTCTAACGAAGCAAGGACGAGGCAAAGCCAAAGCAAAGAGATACCTATGCCTATTTACTTGTCTAGCGACAAGGGCTGTTCACCTTGAGATGTCATACTCATTAGACACGGCTTCCTTCATCAATGCCTTTACGCGAATGGTATCGAGGAGGGGGACGCCCGTATATGTTATATCGGACAATGGGACCAATTTCGTGGGCGCAGAGCGGGAGATGAGAGAATTAGTTCAAGCTTTTAACCACGACAAAATTGCCCAAGAAACCACCAAGTATCAACCTATTGAATGGAAATTCAATCCTCCATCGGCCCCTCATTTTGGAGGGATTTTCGAGGCTATGATAAAGAGCGCCAAGAAGGCAATAAAAATTGTCCTAGGAGATGCAGATGTGACGGATGAAGAACTTCAGACCGCAATGTGTGGAGCTGAAAGACTGGTAAACTCACGGCCCATCACTTATGTGAGTTCAGATCCAAACGACCCGTCCCCACTTACTCCAAATAATTTTATAGTCGGACAGATCGGTTGGGTATTTGCTCCTGAAGCTCTTGATCAAGTTGAAGCGAACAACCCTAGGAATCGCTGGCATCGAGTACATCAATTGTTACAGCTGTTCTGGAAGCGCTGGAGAAAGGAATTCCTTCCACGCCTTAATGTAAGCAAGAAATGGTTTCATCCCAAACATAACCTGAAACAAGGCGATGTGGTATTGATTGCTGAACCCAAAGCAAGTAGGGGAGAATGGCCTCTTGCCCGTGTGATCGAAACGTATCAAGGAAGTGACGGCCTAGTCCGAGTTGTAAAGGTGAAATCCAGGAACAAAGAATATTTCCGTCCTATACATCGATTGTGTCCTCTCGAGTATGTTGACGAACATTCGGACAATGAAGATAGATAACTGAAACGTTATATAGAAGTGAACATAAAGGACGTTAATTAAGTTGTATTTGTTGGTATTCATTGACATTGCTAATCCCTCTATTTATTGTCTTTAAGTGGAATCGAATGCGTTGCATTCGGGAGGGGGATGTTAACGAACGATATTATTATATGAAGTACTTGCTTTCATGACCGCTGAAATAGTCGCGCGGGCGACAAAACGTAGTTTGAACGTTCTAGTTTATATCTTTTCGACTACAAAAAGTGTGACAATATTTAGGCTATTTTTGTGTTTAAAGACTCGGAATAAAGTGGCGAATTATCTCGTGTAGACATTTTATAGACAGTTCAATTAATCGGGAACAGTCTCAGTATTGTCAAAAACGAATACATGATCATTGGCTCAGTCCAACGAATTAGAAACTTAAGTAGAGAACCTTCTTTATTCCTAGGAAATGTTAAACTGAAAATAGTTAAACACAAGAAAATGCTAGGTGTTATCGTTGATGAAAATCTTAGCTGGCATGACCATATAAGTAATAGTGTTAAGAAGGTAAAGAGCGACCTGAGTGCCTTGATACAAATTCGTGATTTTGTTCCAGTAGACGGCAGACGCATTAAAGAAAATATATTACGCAATTATACAACCGCATAATTTCGACTATTGTTCATCGGTATGGGATAACGGCAATAAAGGTTCTAAAGAGAAACTTCAGAAATTACAAAATCGTGCTGGGCTGATTATCAAATGTTCTGGTTATGATATTAGATCCGCGGAAATTTTATAAAAATTAGGCTGGCTTACGTTGGAGCATAGGTGGCACTTGAATAAGGTATTATTAATGCATAAAATAGCAAATAATGATGCACCTATAAAATGAAGGTTTCTAATGTACGGAAATTGTTTTTTGAGCAATTTCTTCAATATTCAAATGATAATTGAACAGTTGAATATTTTGATATTCTAATTCTTCCAATCTCAGCTAGATGTTATAGTTCAACTGGAATTCATCCCGACGCGGAATGCGTGATTTGTTTATTTGTAGAGCGGTAGACATTTTTCCCAAAGTAAGTGTGGATTAGCCTTCCCATTATGGTGATTTTGGTGATTTTAGAGCAATCGCTGCATCCTTGACGTATCTTTGGTAAATATACCGTTGAGGGTTTACAGGAATGACAAGATGAGCTGCTTCCAACTTTGGTTAATTGGCTTTCTTTTGCGGTGAGGTTACACGGAACAACCTTTAACGACAACTCGCAATGCAAATCGGTACAGGACCAGTTAAAATTCGTGTAAATTCGTTTGCATTGCAAGTTGTTTTTACAACTTGTCCCGTGTAACGTCGCCCTTACGCTCTGCGCAACTATCAACCATTGTTTAAGTAAGGCCTTAAAAGGCTGTCTCCGTAAAAACCTCCAGGTCAATATGGGGCTCAAAAATAGATTTCTCTCATACTTTAGTATTTTGAAGATCTATCCTTGGAAACAACTAAAATCGATTTCATTTTACTCACATTTCTTGTAAATTATTTTGAGGCGATTGTTGTTCGATCGGCAAAATATCGACATATTTTCAGCGCTATTTTTAATTTAAATCAAATTCATACCTAAATTTCAAAGTTTTTGCTCAGAAATATAGACTTATCCTTCTATTTTCGTTGGTGATGTGACTTAGATAATTATTCTTTGGTATAAAATAGAAAACAACGCAGTCATTGACCCTCCTGAACGGATAACGGGTTTCGTCTCAAAATATATCAACTTTGAAAGCTTATATCAAAATCGTGGCTCTTGATTGGCACATGACTTTAACTTTTCTATAAACTACTAACATTAGTCAACACAAATCGCCAATAATATCTTTCTGCTTTACCATTTGACAAAAATGACAAGCGCGCAAACTTTGTAAAATTTGAAAATGTGTCGAACTCGAGCATACTTTATCGGTAAACTTAATTATTGATATTAACAGATAAAATCACCTTACACTACACTGAATGAAGCTTGATTATGTAAATATATGTCTTTCATCAATATTCTTTGGTTCTGCACTTGAAAGAAATTGTTTGAGTACAGTTTGGTTTCAAGGATAGTCATTCAATGCCAGTGTGTCCGGTGTGTTCTGCGCGCCTCATTGCCTCAATGCCATGAGTACTGATTGTGACATACGAACTTCGCTCTGTTCGCTTTATTTACTGACCTACTGTAAATAATATGTCTCAAAGAAATTAGAAAATTCAGAATTAGTCATACTACAGAAATAATTTTCATTGGTTTGTTTACCTTAAACTGTTATATAAACTTTCGTTTAACAGAATGTACGAATTAATCTCGGGGAAAACTCCTGGCCGAAAGAAATGTACTCGCTGAGCGTAAACATGTCAATCAAAGCATACAGTTAATATCAAAGACGATGAAATGTTTCGTAGCCCGCGTGCAGGCCAAAGGGAACTGATAGTGGGCCTGCAAGCAAGGCCCGGTATTTTGTAAAACGCCCCTTTTCATAACACGCAGTATTCGAGCGTCAATTGTCAAAAAAAGAACCAATGACAGCACCCAAGTATTAACAAACAAACTCGCATTAAAATGTTGCGGGGTTTTCTCTGCTTATTCAAAACATAAACAATGTGTAAATGGCTGCGTTTTAACTCAAAAAAAGCAAGCAACGCAGTCAGTAATTGCCAAATTTGCAAGTGCTCATTTTCAACTAAAATTGGAAGAGACAAATTAGGACGAATTTCAACAGAAAACCAGTCTCAAACTTCAAATCGTGAGGGAAGTCGTGCGACCACATTGGCATTTAATAAGGTGTACTTCGCTGTCGCCATTGTTATAAATAAATTGTCTCACTTATCAGATCGTGTGTGCAATGCTTGTTGGCGGCGAAAGTACGAAATTTATTTCAGTTATTTCATTTGGTATAAAAGAACTCTACAAAAGAAGAGAGCGTTCAGAGTCCAGATCGTTCCATTTCAAACGGCAATTTAATACCGTCTTCTGTTTCGCTCTCTCAGCGAAGCCTTGTAAATCGCAAAGTGTTTCGAATAGGCTTACATGCAACTGCATCTCAACATCAACCAAAAGATAATTTTCTTGAGGAACATATAACGTATCAAGTCTGTTTGAAATTAATGAAACTAAAGTAAAGGTTACTATAGTTTACCCCAGTCGTAATGTTGCTACTCCCAACACCTCATGACAAGCAATCCCCATTGGCATAACGGCAAAAACATCTCTTCCTTCAAGTAAACAATAAACAGTCTGTTCTTGTTCCATTTATAATCGAAAAAAGTGATCAATTTTCGAATTTTAAGCTTATCGAGAGCCTTTGTGTTGAATCACTGACCTAATTGTAGAATCCGACAGCAAACAGCCAATCAGAATGCCGCGTTCGTGGGCGAACGCGGAAAGTACAAAATACCGGGCCTTGCTTGCAGGCCCACTATCAGTTTCCTTGGGCCTGCACGCGGGCTAAATGTTTCGTTGCTCTCTGATTTCCCTTTCTTTGTATTGCATCAAATAGTAGTCTCAGACAATATTGCACGGGGTTTTGGTGTTTACAATATTGTTCTTTTCTGTACTAATTCGCAATTACATTCGCTACCATCATTCGCTACCATGGACGTGTGTACAGCGAGCGCCGATAATGAACTCAGCAATGACTGCGATATTGAAGCAAAACATAAGAATAATGCAGTAAACTATCTTACAGTAAACGAAAAGGGCAAATTTAAATGGATTGGTTCCTTCGAAGAACTTAAAATATTAATGAACGAGCTCACAGAGAAGGATTTAAAATGGACATTGCCGGGTGGCCATTGTAAATTGTTAGAATTAGACGAAGCCGAAATCAGATGGTATTCGAACAATAAATCACTCACTATTAGCGGAAAAGCAAGCGACGATATTAAGTCTCAACTACGGATTGTTGCTGACTTATCTCGGGCTGATACTGAAGCAACCGATGAAGGAAACGACAACGGTAAAGACGCCGTGATCGATAATACTAATGGCGAAGCACCAGAGGGAGAAAACAACAATGTTAAAGACGACGTGGTCGATAGCAATATGACAAAAGACAGATTCCGAGAAACATTGAATTCTACCGTGCGAGAGCTTGAAGTGAGACTAGAGCGTAAAATCAACGAGCTTGCTAGCGAAATAAACGAGACAAGAATAGATTTGTACAACGAAAAAATGATCAGAGGCGAAAACGAAGTTCGGAACAAATCTATAAACAATGAACAATCATCGAATTTGAAAGGATTTCTCGCAAAACAGAACGATAGTCTAAAGAAAGAAAATGACCAACTTAAAGAACAAATTAATAACTATAAGTGTATCACTTCTGATCTCAACCAAAAAGTGAAAGCCTAAGATAACGAAAGAAGCAGCTTAATCACGGTTATTAAAATTTTACAAAGCGAGCAAGAACAACACAAAACTGAGGCATTGTCATCGTGGAATGTTGTAAACAGACACAAGAAAAGCACTAAAAGCCGAAACGCCTTAGAACAAAATCCCAGTGGAAAACATCAACGACAGGATTTGCAATTACAAAATCAATTCATTGATTTGAGTGATTGCGAAAGCGACGGCAACGAAAGCAACACAGATATATCAGCCAAACATGGAGACAAGCCAAGGCAAAGCGCAGACAAACCAAACCAACGCCGAAGCGGGCAAAATAGTCGAAAGATCGAAAGACGCCAGCAATCCAAAGGAAACATACAAGATCGTCAACCAAATTTGGACGAACGGAAAGATAAAAGCGAACCCAAAGCGACAAAACAAAGGCAACCTAACATTGTAATCTTAGGGGATTCAACGTTAAAACATTTGCTCATTTAAATGTACGAAGCTTAATCAAGCATATCGATGAACTAAGGCTGTATCTTTATAAACAACAATTTGAAATAATTAGCGTTAACGAAATCATGCTTGACCTGTCTGTCTCAAATCAAGAGATCAAAATTAATGGTTATGATATTGTGAGAAAAGACAGGAATAGGCACGGTGGTGGAGTCGCAAACGCGTTCCAAAGTAAATCCAGCAATTCCAAAGTATTTTTTTTTCCGAAAAAAATAGGAAAATAGCAGGAAAATGTGGAAAGTCTGCATTTTTCTCTTAAAAATTTAGTATTTGCGGAGGTATTATGAAATATAACCATTTGATACAAAAATATGAAATTTTAATGAAAACAGAGAAATTCAAAATTACAGTGCGTGCGATTGCTTTACAAATTAAATAAATACTGAGACTGCATATTATAAATACTAATTACAGCATTAACTCTTAAACGTGGTGGGTTCAGAATTTCTGAACCTTGCATGACAGTGATTCCGCAATATGTCACTCAAAATGTAAAGCCATAGCATAAAAGGTTCAGAATTTCTGACACCTCAATGAACAAGTCTATCGATATAGTCCAATATGCAAACGTTTTAAACGTTTGCATATTTGACTGTTTCGATACATGTTCATTGACATTGGGGTGTCAGAAATTCTGAACCTTTCATGTTGAAGATTTGCATTTTGAGTGAGATATTGCGGAATTACTGTTATACAAGATTCAGAAATTCTGACCCTCCTTTGTTCATATCTGTAACAAAGGAGGGTCAGAATTTCTGAACCTTGATATAATAATAATCCCGCAATATCTGACTCAAAATGTAAAGCCAAAAGTAAATCCAAAATGGAAAGCTTTAACACGAAGGGTTCAGATTTCTGACACGCCAATGGCAATGCACCTGATGTAAAGAAAAAGTAAAATACGCGAACGTTTATAAATTAGTAACAAAAGAGGGTCAGAATTTCTGAACCTTGTATAACAGTATAACGTAATTCCGCAATATCTCACTCATAATGCAAAGCTTTAACATGAAAGCTTCAGAATTTCTGACACCCCAATGAACGTGTGTATTCGAAATAGTCAAATATAGTCTAGGACCTGTATATGAGTTTGTATGCATTTCATTTAGGACATATAATCTCAACTGTTTTAGGGCAAGTTGACCATGACGGTCAACATGGTAACGCTGCCCGAACCCCAATCCGGGACGAAACGTCCGAAACTGACCACACCCAAAAACGACGCTTTCGCCATACTGCTATCTACCAAACCATAAAAGCTTTGGCTATTCTGAGGTGCTTACATGGTTCAGAGATGGTACTATTGGGGGTGGTCATTGGTAAGTGTGAAATGCCTAGCACTAATATTTCACATGAAAATGGCCATGCAATAATCATAGTTAAACGTCAATTTGTGGCTTGCAAATTCAGATAAACAGCAGTGGACTTACATTATCTTTTTCCCTAAATCTTTTTGATAGAAACATAAATGGTACTTATTTAAATATATTATCACTGGTTTGGTGCAAAATAGTTAATATTTTCTGACCGAAATAATAATTTGAAATGTGCCTACCTCCTGCAAATGGACGTATTTGGCCAAGTTCTCCACTTTACTCCGCTGTTTATCGGCGATCTCGTCGATATCCTAAAAAAAATGTAAATCATCTCAGACATAATGGTATCAAGAACATTTTAAACAAGTTTCAACTTGGTTTCAAGTAGATCATACCTGTTTAACCATCGACAAGGTAAATCCACAACTTTGTCCAAATTCGGCGCCATTTTGTCATCCCATGTCGCTTGTTAACAATTCAGCATTATTACTCTTCCATCCAAGCCATTTCCATTCCACTAATAATAAATTTAACCCTTTATAATAGGAGGAAATTAAAAATCTAAACAAAATATAAGAAATTCGCCATTTTATCTCCCTGTAAGATTTCGCTCACGAGTCTTTCAAAACATTCCGTTCAAATCTCGCGTGGTTTAGCAACAGGGACTTGGCAGGGGGGCGGGGGTTGTAGAGACTTAAAAAATGAAAGCCCATACAGTATGGTAAAACCAACAATCAACATTTAATTTGTATGACTTTTTCATGTTAATAAATAATAAATGTATATATTTGTCACTACAAGAAATAAAACAAACATTTGTATGATTGTATTTAGCTTTTAGTCTATTTCACGCAGCCTTCTTCTATCTTCGTGAAATAATTCACCTCCTCCTGTCACGTCCCTGTTACTTTGTCACGCGATATTTGTACGGAATGTTTTGAAAGACTCGTGAGCGAAATTTTACAGGGTGATAAAATGGCGAATTTCTTATATTTTGTTTAGATTTTTAGTTTCCTCCTGTTATAAAGGGTTAAATTTATTATTAGTGGAATGGAAATGGCTTGGATGGAAGAGTAACAAGGCTGAATTGTTACAAGCGACATGGGATGACAAAATGGCGCCGAATTTGGACAAAGTTGTGGATTTACTTTGTCGATGGTTAAACAGGTATGATCTACTTGAAACCAAGTTGAAACTTGTTTAAAATGTTCTTGATACCATTATGTCTGAGATGATTTACATTTTTGTAGGATGTCGACGAGATCGCCGATAAACAGCGGAGTAAAGTGGAGAACTTGGCCAAATACGTCCATTTTCAGGAGGTAGGCACATTTCAAATTATTATTTCGGTCAGAAAATATTAACTATTTTACACCAAACCAGTGATAATATATTTAAATAAGTACCATTTATGTTTCTATCAAAAAGATTTAGGGAAAAAGGTAATGTAAGTCCACTGCTGTTTATCTGAATTTGTAAGCCACAAATTGACGTTTAACTATGATTATTGCATGGCCATTTTCTTGTGAAATATTAGTGCTAGGCATTTCACACTTACCAATGACCACCCCCAAAAGTACCATCTCTGAACCATGTAAGCACCTCAGAATAGCCAAAGCTTTTATGGTTTGGTAGATAGCAGTATGGCGAAAGCGTCGTTTTTGGGTGTGGTCAGTTTCGGACGTTTCGTCCCGGATTGGGGTTCGGGCAGCGTTACCATGTTGACCATCATGGTCAACTTGCCCTAAAACAGTTGAGATTATCTGTCCTAAATGAAATGCATACAAACTCATATACAGGTCCTAGACTAACATGCAAACGTTTACGCCAGTAACAAAGGAGGGTCAGAATTTCTGAACCTTGTATAATAATAATTCCGCAATATCTCACTCAAGATGCAAAGCTTTAACATGAAAGGTTCAGAATTTCTGACACTCCAATGAACAAGTCTATCGCAATAGTCAAATATGCAAACGTTTAAATCTGTAACAAAGGAGGGTCAGAATTTCTGAATCTTGTATGATAATAATTTCGCAATGTAAATGAAAATTTATAAATAAAAGGTTATTTTACTGTAAAATATACAACTTATTTAATAGTTATACAGTACAACATCAGAGTTCCTGGCACATTTAGAACGATTTCTGCATGAGATTAAATTCAGACAATTCTCCTGATTATCCTTCATTAATTCACTGAGTTTCGGTTTGCACACAAAATCTTTATCATCAGATGAAAACAAACACAAACCGTTCCTCTTTACTTTTCGGCGCAGCAACAACTCCAGTAGCTGAAATAGAAACACAGAGTTTGACTGGTATAAGATTTGATCATTTGAATTCAGTGGCAATGTCTGAGAATTAT